GATGACACTGACATTAAGATATGTTGTACTCATAAACTGACATGTTGAATTGAAACTTCCTTTTTATCACTGTTTATTGATTTTTTTTAAAAATTAAAGTAAGATGAAATAGCGCAGAATATCTTGAAAGTGGGAGGGAGGGGCTGTTTCCCATAAGCCTTGAAATAAGTGTGATCATTGATTTGACATAATCATTTTCTAATGAAAAAAAAACCTGAAAACCTTGCAGCTCCAGATGTTAAAAGAAACATCTATAAACTCACCTATTGAATTAATCTTAAAAACACTTTACTGACTTCTATTCCAACATATTCCTAGTAGATTTTCTTTTGTATTTCTAAACAGGTTTCTTTCCAGCATTTGTTACAGTGAGTGTGTTGTCTAAGCTTTAGTGAGATTCAGACTCCGAGCCAAGTTGACCCAATGTTTTCATTGCAATTGAATATTTATTAGGGAAGTTTCAAACTTCCCTTTCAGAAAACTTCTCAATATCCTTCCCATTTTGTTTATTCCAAATACAGTACCATGGAGAGTGCTATGCTGAGTGTTTTCTGTATCTCCTATAATAATCCAAAAATCTTGTTATCTGGGGTTGGGGGGAGAGGGATGGGAAGGGGAAACAAAGGAGGAGGCAACAATGCTTGATAAGAAATGTACTCATTATCTTGCCCATGGGATTGTAACCCCTCTATGCAGTATTTTCACAATTAAGAAAAAAAAAACAAAGAAGGACTGGTAGACTGAGAACTAAGTTGTCAGCACATCTCACAATGCTGTGTTTGAATTTGTTCTACTCTCAGCTATTGCCAATGAAAGATTATAAATGAGATGGGGGGTGGCACTTGAAGCTGTGGTGAAATGTCTATTTAAAATGAGTTGAATGGATGAAGGAACTATGAATGGAAATGTAACCATGATGTGTGAGTAAATTCTATCTGCCTGAATGCTATTTCCTAGCGAACAATTTTCTATGCCTTTGCTGAATCCCTGAAATGTTAAGCTTGGAAGAAAGCTTAGAGATTATCTTTTTTGACCCTTTCTTTTGCAGAAATGCACTCAAGGCTTCATGTGAAGAACTAGTTTGATACAAAATAGAGAATTAAACTTCTTAAAGATAAGCTGTGCAAAGCTACCACGACCTCACTAAGCATCAGACCTCCTAAAGATACTGGAGTGATTCTAAGTCAATCAGGCAGATGGAGGACAAATGCAGAAGGCCTCCTGGTTTCGGGATTTGGACTGCTTAGGAGTAGGATCTGCAAGTTCAGCCAAGCTCTTCTCAATCTCAGTTGATTTCATTAGAAAGAAAGAAGCTCATTGTTGAGCTGAAGGGAGCTCCTCTCAATTTTACCTTCAGGTCCCCGCCCAACTCACAGCCAGCAGCATTGTCTAAATCACTAACAGTTGCCCACATGGCTGACCCTAACTTTTGTGAAACTCTGGTGGTTGATTTTGGCTTTGTTTCCCAGCCTCCCCTTAGTCACCATCACATGATCCAAATACACTCATATACACTGCAGTGGAAAATCAAATCCTTGTTGTTGTTGTTTTTTTTTTTTTATAAAAAGGCCTTCAGAAAACCTGTGTTGGCACAGTTCTGAAGCCATTCATTTACTTGAGACAGTGAGGGCCCAACAGGCTTGTGGGAAGAAAAAGAAAGGCAATAACAAGTAAATAGCGTCAGGCTGGCCAGTGATTATTTGTTAGGCAATTATAACATTTTATAATAAAAAATTTTGAAAGCAGAGGCTATTAACATATTTGCATGTATCCCAAAGCATTTATGGGATCTTAACATGAAAGTCTAATTATTTTTTCTTCTCTCAATAACAACAAAAATCTTTATGGGTCACTGTGTCCTAGAAGCTCTAGAGACATCTTTGAAAGTGTGTGAGCTATTTATTTGGCTAAGTTTAGTTTGTTTTATTATGTCTGGTTTTGATATTGTCGTCTCATCTCGCTTTCCATAGTACAACTGCTTTTATTTGAATAGAGTTTTCCTAACATGTGCTAGAAAACATAAGTCTTCCTAACGATATTCAAACTGTATCTCAGAGGTAGCCATGTGCCTCCAGAGCCCCCTTGTCCTCTATGGCTTACGTAAAGAGGTGAATAGAAGGCTTTTGAGTTTAGAGTATATGCATTTTAGTTCATGATTTCTATTTGCCTACTATTTCTTATAGCCCCAAGAAATATCTTACATAAAAGTTCTATTCAAAGGTTTTCAAAACAGAGCTGAGAAGGAATCAAATAGGGGGACCCAGAGAAGGACTAGTTCAAGAGATAAGCAACTAGGTCTTCAGGTATGCTTCATGAAAACATATTTTTTTCTCCCTATTCTAGTCAGGAAAATAAAAAACAGTGAATACAAGGGAAAGGCAAAAAGTCCTTTGGGGAAATAATGATACATGTAATATTTATATCATGTATTCATAGTATCTTTTACATTTGAAAGCAAATGTGGTCAGGTAATGACTCTCAACTGACATTTCCTGCCTTGATTCTAGCTATACTACCTGTCCTAGGTGTAAGCTATACCTCCTATCCTGGGTGTCTGGCTTAGAGAAAAATCTCTAATCTGATAAGCCCCTGGGATCTCATACACAGAATATCCAATTGGATTCATTCTTCGTCCAAAAAAATAAAAATTTATGTTTTCCTCCCATTATTGCCACTGTCCTAAATTCTCACCTGGGATTTCAGCTCTAATCCCATCCCATATAGTTGATCTATATAAATTCCTCATTCATATAATCTTTTGATACATGAAACATGAGCGTGGTGGGTTCTTGTTCTCCAGTGGTATCGAAATAAAAGCAAGAACTATGAGTACAATTTTTTAAAGAGTGTAAAGATTATTTTGTAAAGTGAAATTAAAGGTCACTCAGAAGAATGAACAATGGGGTCTCTGCCTGGCCAAAGACTGGCTGTTTGGTATTGTCCCTCCTTACCTTTTTCTTTTCCCTCTCGGCAATTAGTCAGCTACTGACTGCTATTTGTTTGAAGTAAGCCAAACCCCTCCTCTGTGATGGCTAGTATGAGGGCTGGCATGAGTTATGGCATAGCCCAAGACCCTTCCCTTCTACTTGGTGGCTTGTAGGAAAGTGGGCCTGGTTTATGGCAAGACCCAATCAATACACTCCCTTGGGTGGTAGCCACAAGTTGAAGGATGGGTTAGAGGCACCTTGTGGGCCACACTGATTGGCTAATGTTTTCCTTCATTTTCAGTTTCAGAAAACTTCTTGCCACGTGGAAATCTTATTTAGATTGTCATCAGAACTTCCTACCAAGTTGTCTCTATGTTTTTAATTCATCTTGAAATACCAATACAGTGATCATCTAAAATCTTTGCTATAAAAATTATTGTCCTGCTCAACACTTTCTAATGTATTTTATCTGCAAGGTGGATACTGTCCAAATTCTTATCACAAGCAGTTATGGATTTTCTTTACCTAGCTATGTACCCAAGCTTAATGCCTTTATCTATGCGATATCAGCTATTAAACAAAATCCTTACTCTTTCATAGTTCCTCCCTTCCTTTATCCATCTCATTCTGACCATTACTTTAAGAAAGTGTCTCTACCCACTCCATCTGTGACCATTTCTTGCCTGTTTGTTAGGTTGAAAATAAATCTCATTTACCATATGACATATCTTCACACACTATAAATTCCTCTGGGCTCAGAGAAGATAATGTGCAATTTAACATAAAATTTTCTGTTGCATGTGGACTTGCTCAAGATACTTACATGTCCTTAATGGCACCCTTTTTATTCATCCAATGCCACAAGTGTTCTATAAAAGTTTTTAATTACCTTGTCTACATTTTTCTGAATGCTCAAAAATTCATCCTTTTTACAGAAACTCTCCATTTCATCTGGTAGCCCCAAATTTGTGGCTTCAAATCATAACGTTGCTTATATCCCTTTGGAGGGGCTAAACATGGGAGTTTTCCCTGATTTTTCATTGGTTCTTCCCCTCATTATTCCTCTCAAGTATCTATGGACCCCTGTCCCTTGCTAAAGCAGACTCAGAAACTAACTCTCCCTGTGTCAGTTCCCTGCCGATTCAGCACATATAGTCAACTCTAGCCCACTAGGATTTGCAGAGGATATCACAATAGATTTTTACAACCTCTGTGTTGTTCAAACAACAGCTTCACATGCTTTGGACAACAGTAAGAACAAATATGTTTGGGGGATGGCTCACCAAGGCTGTGTAGTCAACATTTTCTATTAACACAGCTTGACTACCTCAAACCATAGACAACTCCTTCTGACTTTTTATATTTTTAATTTTCTTTTAAAAGTTAGGCAAATTTTCCAAGATAAAGCTCAGTACTCATTAATTGGCACTAATTAGATGAGTAATGAATGTAGTATAGAATTTCTTTCCTCTCTTTTTTAATCAAGACAGAATTTACATAACATAAAGGTTTATGCCTTTCAGCTGAGTGCTAATGGCTCACGCCTGGAATCCTAGCTAGTCAGGAGGCTGAGATCTGAAAATCATGGTTCAAAGCCAGCCCAGACAGAAAGGTCTGTGAGACTCTTATCTCCAATTAACCACTGGAGAAGCCGAAGTGGAGCTGTGGCTCAAGTGGTTGAGTGCTAGCATTGAGCTGAAGAACTCAGATACAGAGTTCAAACCCCATGACTGACCAAAAAAAAGTTAGTGGCTTTTAGCATATTTGCAGTATTGTATAATTATCACTACTTTCAAACTCCAAATATGCTGTCCTTCTGAAAGGAATCTGGTATCTCTATGGACTGCTTTAATTGAGCTTATTTTGGTGTTTTTAACTTCTGAATCTTGCCCTTTTGATATTTGTTAAAAATTAACTTCCCTGGATCCCTATCTATCTATCCTTCCACTCCCCACCCACTCAATCCTCCTGCAACCAAACCACGTTGGTCCCTTTTAATTTTAAATGGGTGCAGAAGGTCCATAGTTCATGTTCTATAGCTGATTGTTGTTGAGAAAAGAACTTCTGGCCCAACCTGGAAAAGGGGAACTGAAAAGCTATTTTTGTATCTTTATTTTTAAGGAATATTGATTTGTAGTTTTCTTTTTTTGTGATGCTTTTATCTGGTATTGACATCAGAGTAATGCTGGTCTCTCAGGGTAAGTCAGAAACTGTTCACTGTTCTTTCTTTACTTTCATATATATGTGTGTGTGTGTGTGTGTGTGTGTGTGTGTGTGTGTGTGTATACATACATACATACATACATACATACATACATACATACATATTCTGTGAATTCACCAGTGAAATCACTGGCTATAAGCTTTTCTTTCATAGAAAAAATTTGATTATTCATTCAGTCCCTTTCCTTGTTGTGAGACTGCTCCAGTTTTCTGTTTCTCCTTAAGCAAATTTTGTGTTTCTAATATGCTTTCTTTCCCTTCCACCTTCAAAGGTTAAGTAAAGCTGAAGGTCAGAAGAAAGATATTCCTCCTTGGATAGTAAATCCAAATGTAAATATGTTAACAGAGCTAAGCCAGTTAGTTGTCTGGCCAAAAACAAAGGAGACAAGAATTCACTTCTTGCTTTTGTGTAATATATGGCTCCTAATGATATGCTATGTCTTGAAACAAAATTTTTAAAGGAAACGGGTATTTGATTTGACTTCACAAAGCCTTTTCTTGACCTTTTGTATTTTTCCCTAGGAAGACAAAATGTCCTTAGATACTAGGTATAAAAATATTTCTTGGCATTTATGCAGTAAATTTCTGTGATAGGATTAGAGTACCATTCCCTTGTCCTTCTCTTTTGATATCACCTTCCTACAAGTTATAGAACAACTTACATACGTATATGCAGACCTAGAAGAGCAAAGAATGTTAAAGGGAAGGAGGGAAACCTAAACATTTTATGCATGATTATATATCCCTCTGGAAAAAAATGTTGTCCCCCCAAAATGTCTTTTTCTTTACCCTCTGAATCTTCTTTCTTTATACATCTTTTACCTCTATTACCAAATTATCTTATAACCTATTCAATCAATATAGACATATAGGTGCTAAAACACACACAAACACACACATACATACATACACACACATACATACACACACACATACACACACACACACACACACACACACACACACACACACACATGGGCTGGGAAGGTGGCTCAGTGGTAGAGTGCTTGCCTTGCATGCCTGAGGCCCTGGGTTTGATTCCTCAGCACCACATAAGCAAAAAGAAAAAAGCCAGAAGTGGCACTATGGCTCAAGTGGTAGAGCGCTAGCCTTGAGCTGAAGAGCTGAGGTACAGTGCCCAGACCCAGAGTTTAGGCCCCACGACCAGACCCAAAAATAAAAAATAAAAAAAATAAGAAAATAAAACACACACACACACACACATATCCCAGATGCATCTTCAAGTCCCTTCATTGAATAACCATTTTAAAAATACCTACTGTGTGCCAGGCATGTATTATGCTGAATTGTGAATACACAATAATGATAGACAAGTTTTGTCAAAGATTCATTTCATGGGACTCTGGTTTTCACCACATGCACAGCTTAATTGTGCAGTTGAACAAAACAATTGGAGGTTCACATACTACTGGAAGTTAAAGATAATTCAGCAATGACCCCAGAGCTTCTGCTGCCTGGGAAACAGTTCATAGTGCTACCCAGGAAGTATCATGAACCATACAAAGGGGCATGTGTTTGTAACTCTAACTCTTGACAGTGAAGCAATTCTTCCTGCCAAGAGAGTAGAATAAATCCCTTCCCTTTGCCCCAGCACACCCAGACTGCTGATCCAGCAGAACATGCTGATTGCTCACAATATACAGAAGGCTACAGGGTCAACCAAACCAACAAGAGCCACACCAGGGGTTAACAGGGAAAGCAGGAAGCCAACATTGTGCTGAACATATGGAGGGAGGAAAATCTTGAAGAGAAGATAGACCCAGCATAATCTCAACAGCCAAGAATGAGATAATCTACCAATAGCAAAAAGGAAAACAGCAGAAATGAGAAAGCAGCCAACCTCTGAACAAGACAGCCTGGGAAAAGACTGGCCCTGGCCACAGAAAAGGGGATCTGTGAAGCCCTTGCCAGACACGCTTGTTCTTGTTACGGCACAGAATTGTTACTAGTCCTGGATTGAATGCCAGCTCTGCCACTATCCCCCTGTGACATTGTGTAAATCACTGAGCCTCTTTGAAACCTAGATGTTTTGTCTATAAAACAAGCTTACCTGATTGTTAGAAGGAGAAAATGAATGTAAAGTTTGCAGTGGTTAACATTACAATGACATTTAGTCTGAAGGGGTTTTTCACTTATCTGTAGTTTTCTTAAAGTTCCAGTCTGTCTTTTGCTGTTCAATAATCAGGTGGTGTCAAATTAGAATGCCTACCTGCAAATGATTAAAATGCTGCACATCTACCTTTATGAGACATACTTTATCACCCATGAACTGTCTGCTTCCCTCACCTCCATATCTCCACTCATCTGTTCCATACATGCTTGTTGGAATCAAATACATTCTTGTTCATCTTCGCTTCTGGACTTTTAATAAAATGGGAGACACTCAAATAATATTTGAACGCTCTTGGTGGTCTAGTGGTTAGGATTCGGCACTCTCAAATAATATTTGATATTCTGTATGTCCTTCCTTTATAACTCATACCACATTGTCATACCCTACAAAAATATGCATATATATATATTTTTTTCATACATGAATGCACATACTTGTGTGTTTCTGTATAGAGTAAGGGAATGTCTTCACCAATAAATAGCTAGATAGGTTCATATGCCAAGCCTTTAAGGACAACACTTTCCCTATCAGTTGGAAACAATAACTACAATTGGAATTTCTGAAGATATTCATGTATGTGGAATATTAAAAATAGTAACAGTTTATGAAACAGACTCATTCTACTGTGCATCAAAAAAGAAAAATATATTTCTATAGGACCTGAAAAACATGCAATATAAAATGATCCAAAAATTACTATCCAGAACATCACATTATTACTCAGTTGTAGTCAATGTGGATATTTTCTTCATTTACTATTCACTGTTGCTAATTGTAATCATCAGGCTCACCTACAGCAGTTTGAAACTTCTGAAAATCGTGTAAACTCTTTGAAAATTCTTTGTTAAAACCAAGCCTTGACCGTAATGAGTTCACTGTTATTTATTTACTTATTTATTTATTTATTTAGTCAGTTTTGAATTCAGAGCCTGTCCTTGAGCTCTTTTGATCAACGCTAGCACTCTACTATTTTCAGCCACATCTCCACTTCCAGTTATCTGGTGATAAATTGGAGATAGAAGTCTCATGGATTTTTCTACCCAGGCTGAATCCTCAGATCTCAGCCTCCTGCGTAGCGAGGATTATAAACATGAGCCACCAGTGCATGGCATTATTTTTTTGAACTCTTTATTCATAATCTGTGTCATCCCAGGCGCTGGTGTCATCTGAGATACACCCATTTTCAGGTAAAGATTGCCCTTTATTCCAAACATTGCTGAGCCCGTTTGAGCTGCCAGGGCTAAAATAAAATGCGGAAAAAAGTGAAATATTACAAAGGTTCCAAAATGAAAAGGCTTTAGAAATTAGTTGTTTCAACCTTGTTCCTCACATGAATTCACAGGAGAGCTCCAGACTCCACTTTCTGACAGATATACTCATTCATTTGGGTTACCTGGAAGCCGCAAGAATTAAAATATCAGTCTCATAGATTTTGTTGTCTTGGCTAGCTTCAAACCATGCTCTTCAGATCTCAGCCTCCTGAGTAGCTAGGAATACAGGCATGAGCCACCAGCACCCAACTCAAGACTATTTTTAATGAGTAAAACGGTGTGTGTCAACACGCTGTTGCCCTAGTAAGAGTTTGCCAGTTGCTCTCTCTAGATGCTCTTGGCTCAGTTCAATACCACCAGCTATCTGAAATCCCACAATTTATCCTTTGTGATATGCTGGGCCAATGAAGTCAGATATACATGGCTAGGTAGTGTTGGTGGGCAAAGTCCTGGGCATGACTCTTGTTGAACAAGATACAGGTAATGTAAGTCTGGCTTTTGAATGGACCATATTAAAAGGGCACTGGGGTGGGTAGTCAGGTTGGTAGGGTGATATACTGGCTTCAAAACTTAAGGGCCATATCCTTGGGAATCTTAGTTTTTGTACCTCTGTTTCCCCTCCCTTTAATAATAACATGTAACAAAGAAATACTATACAATGAAGCAAAATTGATAATATGCTCAGAGTGTGTTGCCCCTAGAATATAATAAGAGATACAGTTAACCTTGTTGGATGAAATGTAGAACAAACTCCATTGCCTTTTTTTTTTTTTTATGTCCGTCACAGGGCTTGAACTCTGGGCCTGGGCACTGGTCCTCAGCTCTTCAGCTCAAGGCTAGTGCTCTACCACTTGAACCACAGCACCACTTCCAGCTTTTTCTGCTTATGTGGTGCTGAGGAATCGAACCCAGGGCCTCAGGCATGCAAGGCAAGCGCTCTACCACTGAGCCATCTTCCCAGCCCCTCCATTGCTTTTTAATCCATTTCTGCCTTGTTGGCAAGCTGTGGTGCTAGCTGTTCAGGATAGTGACATCTCTCCCTGTGAAACATTTCCTCGCCTTTCTTCTTGCTACCTTTTCTAGCCCAAGAAGGATGAGAAAGCAAGAATTTACAAACAAGTCTAAATTCCATTTCTCTATTTGCCTAAACAAACTTCATTTTTAATCTTAATTTTATTTCTGTTGGTTTTGTTCCATGGCTTCTGAAATTACCTTTTATACTCCTCCTAGCTCAGTAGATCTGTAACAACAGCTCAATACCTATGTCTAACTGTCTAAGGCAGAGGCGGAAGACTCCTTCAGCATTAATCAACAAGTCCCATTAGTAAACAAAGGCAAAGGAAATTAATTACTATTTTTGAGACAATATTCAGTCAGATAAGTTTGAAACCCTGTTTATCTAGAAACTAATATTTTTGTTCAAACCTAGTTAATCTTGAAGTAAAAAATTGCCATACTTTGTAAGATAGACAAATTCTATTTGGTGAAAATAACTGCTTATACCTAATTTTAAACAGAATCTTAACACCAGTAACATTAACAATAAAGCTATTTACTTTCATAATCAAGAATCTCAAACAACACGTAAGCCTAGAGCAATTTCATAATATAACACAGAAGAGCAGAAATTAACTCAGTGGAAAGAAAAGTATATTGGATTATTCAGAAAAATAAGAAAATAAAACTGAAGAAATACCCTCAAGCATTTGACATGATACAAATCATCATTCTTTGTTTCTTTTGTTGTTGTTATTCTTTATTTCTTTATCAAAAGCAATACTGAGTGAATTTGATTGTACAATCTCAAAATTAAGGCATGCAAGTCATCATATTGAGACACATATATTGAAATTATGGAATCACATAGACATCAAGAACAATCCTTAGCCAGAAAGCTCAGAAAACTTCCAGGGTGAGGAAAACTTTTTTGAGGATGATAACATGGAAATTTACTTAAATTGTTTATTGACATTCTGTAAATAATTTTCCCATTTTTTTCTATGTGATACAGATGGAAGGCTCACATCTTCCAAATTCATTTCTCAGTTATATGTGTGTGTGTGTGTGTGTGTGTGTAAATTAGCCCGTATAAATTACAAGTTGTCTTATCAAATTATGTAAAAACTGTTATTAGTTCTGATTTTTATATTGTTGGGTACTTGTGGAAATAGTGTAGACCTGTGAGTTATTTCTTCCAAGAGACTCAGAAATATCTGATCAAATGTCAACAAATGAATGAGATGCCTGAACATATAAATATCTCAGCTCACTCACCACTAATATTTTCATTTGTACAAAGTGTCAGAATGTTCCATACATTGAGCCAGCCATTCTGGAAAGCCTTTTCTCTGGTGCATTAAGTCTCATTGTCAGCTTAGATATTAATCAGTCCAGTGCACTTGGAACACTCTACTATTCTCCTCCCCTGCAAACATGGATATCTACCAGATTTATGGGTGGGCAGACTGGTTTCTACTGGAAACATCTAGTACTCTTCCTCCTGCCCTTGTTTGTTTAATTCAGTGTTGTCCTCCACCCTTCTCAAGTTCTTGTCCAGCTAGGTTGAGCTTTTGAGAAAATAACAAATCTTAGATCTTCTCTATGATTCAATATTTGGATCTAATCACAATAAATTTGTGGCCATTTAGGACACAGATGAAGAATAAACAAAGCAACAATAAATTTGAACATGAAGTATAGTGTTGAAATTCTTTAGGCCCTGTTTTTTTTTCTTTTATAATTACACTTAGTAAGTTGAATATCCTCGCAAAGTATTAACAACTTTTTTGGTTCTTCTATGTGCATTTTCCTTAAAATGCCAGGGAATCTAAATTTAAACCACTATGATATTAAGGAAGAAGAATTGTGCTTCGGTGTCTTGTGCTTCAAGCATGTAATTGGAAAGAAAAAGGCATCAAAAATGAGAATAATGACAAGGCATTCAAGCATTGAATTGGCATATTTGAAAGTTGTGACTTATAGTGGATTAGCCACCCTAAAACTTATTGTTGATGCAGCAAAGGGAAAACTGATTATAGTGTATAATCTGTACCAAATTTGACCAAGTTCACGCAATAACTACTCAATTTGGGTACTTCCCTAATAGAGGTAGTATCTGGATTTTAAAGAGGGATAGAAGCCTAAAAGGACCCACAGACATTTCCTCTAATATCTTAGTGAAAGAGCAATGTTCAGCAAATCCCGAGGAAGTGTATTTATGCGCCATGCTGCAGGCTAGACATATGGGAGAGAAGACGACAGAGCATACCTGCAGTGAGGGAGAGAAATAGGAAGTGATAGAAAGAGCATAATAAAGGGCTGTGATAGGAGAAAAATGGTTTTTCAATTTCATGAAGGACAGTACCGTTCTTTGAGATAGGCAAAGATGGGAAATAGTAATGTTATTAGGTGTATGAAGTAGAGGAAGATGTAGTTACTTGTTTTATATATATATATATATATATATATATATATATATAATGTATATAACATATACATTATATATATATATAAAATACCGTACAGAGGAGTTTCAATTACATGGGCAAGGCAATGAGTACATTTCTTATCAAGCATTGTTGCCTCCTCCTTTGTTTCCCCTTTCCATCCCTTCCCATCTCCCACCCCCCACACCCCCCACTCCCATCCCCTGCCAAAGTTGTAAAGTTCATTTTTCGACATAACGACTTGTACATCTCATTGTTGCAATGGATCCACCTGTATCCCTATTTAAACGATTTGTTTTTTTCCTTCCCCTCCCCAAATTATACCAACATCAAATACAGTGAAAGCAGGGGTTATACCGTGAGGAAGGGACATACAAAGCAACAAAGAGATCATCTTATTTATTTGCAAAAACTAGTATATATCTGAGACAAGCAGAAAAGGTCAGATAAGTTGATGTTAGGTTAAATGAACCCCAAGATAAGGATTCAAATGTTTTTTTTTCTTTCTTGTTTCTTCTTTCTTGTTTCTTACTTCTCACTTGAGAGCTTGGTCTTGGAATCTCATAATTTACCTTAACAAAACCGAACAATCGCTTACAGATGGTGAAGAGATTGTGAGCAGGTCTTTTTAACACCGCTCTCTTAGACATCATATTGGTAATCTAAAGTCAGTATTTACACCATGAAACTGGCAAATGATACAAACCAAAGCTTCTAATTCCCTTGGACTACTGTTTGATTAATGCTTATTAACAACACATCATTGACCAAGTACAGCAACATGTAGCAGATAGCTTCTGCTCAATACTATTTATTAAGTACAAAGTAAGACCATCAGGAAAACAGTATATAAGAAATTTTAAATAAAAATCTTGAAAGTCATTAACATTGGAGACTGGGTAGATTCATGTGTGTGCTATGAGTACAAACTAGATAACTTCACACAATTCTGAAAATAATTATTTTATTAGAAAGGTGAGTGTTCAGAAGCAACAAATTTTATATTACTTTCTGTCTCAGCTATTTTTCCAATTTTTTCTCACAGATATAGAAAGAGCTGCTGATAATTTTCCTATCCTGTTTCTAACTACTGTATAATTTCTCATTAAATTTCCTTTCAAAAAGACTATAATTCTATAACTTAGAACTCTATTACAATTTGGAAAAACAAAAAGACAAGTTGAAGATAGAAATTGAATGTATTGATCTGAACAGTTAAAACTATGAAGCTTGTATTAGTGTTTTAATTAGAAAAATGTGTTGTTTTAATGTGTACTTTATTTGTGATTTTTCTTCTAAAAAATAATAGCTGGCCTCCATTGGCAGTTGTTCTACTGTTGCTTTGGCTCAGAGCTTTAGTGTAAGCAACACAGGCAATTCAGTATGTATAATTAGACAGAAGCCTTTGGCAAGTAAGCAGTCAAATGAAAACCTCAATATTAAATCTTCCTAGATGAAAGCATTGAAGTTTTTATCAAAATAAAACATAAGGGAAACAGTAGCCATGACAATATGCATACTAGAATTATTCTTTTTCACTGTGGAATATTTATTTGGTTTATTATTTCTTCAACACTGTCTAGGATGACCTGGATTCCTCAGACATTCACATAAATTGTGCAGACACAGGAGAAAAAGTATGTAAACCAAAATAATATCTCATATAGATTTTGACAACAGATATGAATACTGACTTGTGCTTGGCTCTCTCTCTTGCTCCATGGTAAATCCAGAGAGATGTTTGTAAAGAGACTTTTATTTTAAAGAAATTGTTTTAACTACTTGAATTGTGCAATATTGCTCGTAGTTCCATGTAGCTTACTATGTGAGGACTCTAGTCAGGGTATGACTAGGAAATGACTGTATTAGCAGCTGATCCTTACCAGATCAGTACTAGCCAACTCTTAAGGTATTTCAGAAGGAATCGCCTACTATTTGCTTTAACTATATTAAAAAAAAAACTCACCCCTACTCCAGAGCCAGAGACCCAACTGCTTATGCCAATGAACAATGATTGTAGCAGCAGGTCTCCCAATTAGGAATGTACCTAATTCTAATTTTTATCCATCTCAGTAGGTGTATTTATCTTTATTTGAATCTGGTCTTCCAAAGAAGATTAGTATCCATATATTTGTCTTCTATATTATTAGTCTCATTCTACTTAAAAGGTGTACTTATTTGTAAACTAAGTGGCTTTTTTTATTTGTTTTTGTTTTTGTTGGTCGTGGGGCTTGAACTCTGGGCTTGGGCGCTGTCCTTGTGCTCTTCAGCTCAAGGCAAGCGCTCTACCGCTTGAGCCACAGCACCATTTCCAGTTTTCTAGCGGTTTATTGGTGATAAGAGTCTCACGAATATTCCTGCCCGGGCTGGCTTTGAACCAAGATCCTCAAATCTCAGCCTCCTTAGTAGCTAGGATTACAGGCGTGAGCCACCGGCGCCCGGCTTTAAGTGGCTTTTTTTTTTTTTTTTAACATAGCAGCTGTTTGGCAAGGAAATGCCCCAACTTGAGTGATTAGAACACTCTATAATCATAACAACTCATAAGTTTAAGATGAAAATTCTGTAAGTTATTGCAGGAGGCTGCTTGTACTTGCTCTTTCACCCTTTCTCCTATAAGTGTGGTTCTGAGACTTACAGAAATGAAAAGAATGCTAGGTAGTGTGGTGTGTTCTTGGCCTATGTTTTAAGTGTCCCGAAATAGCTCAGCATGCCAGGATGCATGCCAAGAATGCTGTGTGCTGTAAAAGAATGTTCAAGGGAGATGAAGTGGAAGCAACAGCTTGTGGTTCTCTAAGATTGCAGTGGTATCTTGAGAAAAGTTTCTATGATTGTGATATGCCTTTTCAGGTCTCGGGAGCTTGAGTACTTTACATATCCTAATTTATGTCATACTATTTCTAGAATAATTCATGAAGAGACTACATCAATTAATATCTGTGGAGACTCAAAATTCAACCTGTGAGATGAGGTTCTGGACATTCATTGGGCAGAGTGACTCTCACAGTAGCCAGAAGGTGTTAGCTCCCCGCCTCTCCCCGTGAGCAGACTTCTAGACAACCAACTTACATCCAAATGTATAGTACACTGATGTTGACATTTTTTAATCTTATCAGATGGGTTTCATGTACTGATAGTGTGCCTGCTACCTGGCTGACTGATATTGTACTATTGTGTTACATTGCAGGCCAAACCTTGTTTCGGTAAGGCTAAAATGTGAAACTATGTACAGCTGACAAATCAATGATACAAGAAATGAGGGAGAATTTCCTGGACTGCCCCATCACATTTACAAATTTGATAAATAATACCCTTTGAAAATTGGTGGTTTGTCTTTGTTAATGCAATTTGTCATCTTCAGATGTGCATTTGCTCAACTGGAATGAAGAGAAGAAAGATATGCAGTAATCGCCAGGTTTCCTCATAGTGCGATGAAGCGTAAATCTGTAATGCAGGATGAGCAGCCCACCGTCCCTCAGCAGACAAAAGAAATTAATTGAATATGTGGAAAAACAGTCACTTAAATCTGGAAAACAGTGTTGTCCCTTCTTATCCTTCAATTACAATGTGTGAAAGCTTGTTAGTATTTTATTGAAAATGCTTTCTATAGCTCTTTGTGTCTCATTAAACCCCAAAGCAATTCCTGAAATATAGTGTGGCAAGGGCTGAGATTCTGCCTGGGTTACTCTATGGAAAAGACCATTATGGAATATCATTAACTCCCTGTGGCCCCAGGAAGACCAGTATGGAGAGATCAATTTCTTCAAATTGATGAAAGTTCTGTCTGCTTGGAATGCCATTCTGGTATTTATAACTGCTGTTCTAGGAAGAGTTTCTCAGCCTCCCAGCTGTTGGCACTGAGACCAGATAATTCAGTTTTGATGTAGCTGTCCTGTGTTCTGTAGGTGCTTAACAACATTTTTTGCCTCTAGACACCAGAAACACTCTTTTACACCCATCTGAGAATCAAAAACATCTCCTCATGTTGCCTCATGTGCCCTGGGGTTCAAAGTTGTCCTGGGCTGAGAACTGTTGTTCTAAACTACTCTTTTCCAAGTCAGGGAAGCCCTGAGAAAACTAGAATTGGATGTTTGAAGAATCCATTCTGATCATGGGGTCATAATGACAGAAATATGAAGCTGGAAGGTTGAATTATCAAAAGCGTATGCAAAACTCATGAAAGCAACTACTTGAGGCTGTCAGAGCCTGAGGTCAAGAGTGCAACAGGAAGTTGAACTCTGAGATAATCACTGTCAGCCCTGAGTTTGAAGACAGAAAGCATGGCACTTATATCTTTCAGTCTCATTGATTTTTTTGTAAAAGCCTTTACAAGTTTTACAGAACTTCTAAAACCACACAAATTGAGCCTTATTTGTTCACTCTGTCATGGGCACTAGACAAAAAGATTGTAAATCTTTTTTTATCAAGGTAGATAATAGAGTCAAGGGAAATAACAAAGACTGTGGTAAGATTCAAATGGAACTACCATGAAAATAGTGATTCCTACTTGTTAGTGGTTTTCATATCCACCTGAAGGGATTTTCTGTGTACATTTTTTTCTGAATAGAAGTGGCCTATTCTTTAGGTAATCCACAATTGGTAATGATTTCTTTTCACCACTTTGTTTTTCAGAGTAGCTCTAAATCTATCCAAAAAATTGAGAGGAAGGTATAGAAATAGCCTACATACTTGATGTCCTCATACTTGCTTAATGTCTCCCATTATGAATAGTCCACTTTCAGGAAAATTGTATATACAATTTGTCTAATCTGGGGAGGGGAAGGGGAATAACAAAGCACTGAAACAAGGACTCAGGATGGCATACTGCAACAATGATACCTACAGGACAGTACTTTGGAAATGAACTTTACAACCTCGGGAAGGGGGAGGAGGAGTGAGGAAAGTGGGGGAGGGAAGGAATAGTGGCACAAGGGAGGGGGAAACAATGATTGACAATGCAGTCATTGCCTTACTCATGTAACTGTAATCTCTCTGTATTGAATCTGTTGTACCCTCCATTAATCAATGTTCACTTTATACTAAGATAGAATGGTGCTATTTCTCACCATCTCCAGTAATACCCTTTTTATTGTCTTCCTGCTTCCATTTTACTCTTGGAAAGTTGTTCCCTACACTGGAACAGACATTTCAATCCTGTCATACATCATGAGCTCATATAACTTGTTTGCTCAAAGGCCACCAGTGGTTCCCCATCTTATTTAGAGTAAAAACTAAGGCTATGCAAGAGACTTCAAAGCTGATTTCATCTGTTAAAATTCTCTTTTGCTCACTCTAATCCGGCCACATTGGTATCTTGAGTAGTTTTTTAGCCCATCAGTTCTCAGGAATTTGCACCAGCTATTTCTTTTCTCTGCAATGCTCTCCAAGGATTTACACATGAGTCAGGCCCTTTGCTCCCCAATGTCTCTTTTAATGTCACTTTTCAGTGAGGCCTCCTTTTTCTAAATAACCTATTTATAGTTACTATGCACTTCCCACCTGTGCCATTCTCCTTACCTTTCCCTTAATTGCCCTTATTCCTTATATCTTCTAATATATGAATTGATTTTATTTCGGTTCTTATTTGATTGGGAAAAGTTTCTTGATATTGCTTTGACTGAGATTATTTAGAGGTATGTGGGGGGGGAATATGGTCCCAAGAGCACAATTAATATGACTAAAAATAGACAAATACAAGATTTAAAAGCTTCCATTCAGCAAAGGAGATTATCAGCAGAGAGAAAAAACAACCTATGGAATGTTTGAAAATATTAGGAAGCTGTACTTGTAAAAAGACATATCTAAAAGATATGAGGAAGCAAAAAAAAAGACTCACCAACATAAAAATAAACTTGATTCAAAAGTGGGTAAAGTACCTAAAATGGTATTTATCAGAAGATTTACAAAATGGTAACAGGTGTATGAAAAACTGCTCAGCCTCACTAACCATCAAATAAATACTATTTGAAAGCATAATGAGGTATTACCTCACACCCTTATAATGGATGTCACCAAACAGACAAAAGATGGTACATGTTAGCATGGATGTAAAGAAGAAGAAATACCATGGATAGTCTCAGTGACCCCACACACCCCTCTCAAGTACCTGCTTCCTGGTATTTATTTTGTTGAATTTTGACTTTGGATTTCTAGGGAATTACTTGAAATTTGCTAAGATAGAATCTCATATTCTCTCTCCACCCCATCCCCTACAATGGTAATTATGTGAGACGATGGATATATTAGTTTGTTGTGGTAGCTGTTTTACAGTGTAAATGTTCACAAAGCATTACATTATTTGCCACTTTCATTTTCATAAAGCTGAAAAAATAACAATTGCAATGATTGCCTTTTCAAATTACTTTTTCAAATTTGTTTTGTTTCAAAGCAGTTTTGCTATGTAACTAAGGCTTGGATTGCAGGTATGTGACCTATGCCTGGCTACAAACTTTCTTGTTAGAAGTACTGGAAGTAGAACCCAGGGCTCTGCACAGGTTAGACATTCTACCACTGAACTGCTTCCACAACCCTACATTTACAAGCAGAGGGAGTAATATATGTGAAATAATAACATGTTAATAATAAATATATTCTTAGAACTTTGATTTTATGGTGCACATCTTAGCTCTTTATACAATTGGCACACTATTTTAAACTCCTTTAGTCTCAGATTCACAATAAGCTGCTTTGGCTCAGGTAACCATAGAGAGACAACCAGTTGCTCATTCTTTTCATTATTGCCCAATAGTATTTTTGAACAACATAGTGGGGTAGCCAAAGATGATCACTGATGGTTGTCAAGCTAGAGGGGCAACATGTAGGGCATAAATGAAAGTCCTTAGCAATTGGTTCATCTCAAATACCAACAACTGAGGTGGATACCACAGGAAAAGGAAGAATGAGCCTGAAGATCTAAGCAGAATTTTGGAGACTAGTAATCTACAGAAGTGATGAAGTTTAATAACTTAACCATGTCCATTAACACATTATATTTTCTTTTCCTTTTTCTTTTTTTTTTTGGAGGTAGAAGGGTTTGAACTCAGCATTTTGTTCTTGTTGGATAGGCACTCTCATATTTGAACCACGCCCTCAGCCCTTTTTGCTTTCATCATTTTCCCAATAGGGTCTCACTTTCCAATAGGGTCTTGTGATGTAGCACAGCTAGGCTTACCATGTATCTGGTATGGCATATGCCTACCTGGCCTTTTATTGCTTGTGGTTCACAAATATTTTACCACAATCATCCTAATCTCAGCCGCATAAGTCATTAGGATTATAGATTTGAGCCACCACACCATCCCTAACTTTTTCATGAACAATAGTGTATATTAATTGTATGAAGCACTGGTTTTAATTTTATTTTCATGCAGCCTTTGGTCATATTCAGCACTATGAACCTCTCTTGTCCTCCTACTAGCCTCTTTCTTCTCCCTAAATAACCTGCTTCCATGCCTATCAGCAACATCAAAATAAATAGGGGAAAACTAAGCTGTTTCCTCTAAAGTCAGGAATCAGACAAGGATGGCCACTCTCCTTACTCTTATTCAGTATAACATTGGAATTTCTACTCAGACCAGTAAGACATGAGAAGGAAATGAAAGGAGTTCAAATGGGAAAAAAGTCAGGTTATCCCTGTTTGGTATGACTTTATGCCTAAAATTCACCAAAACCACTGAAATTTCATAACAACTGCCTAAAAGCCAGCAGGATACAAAGTCAGTGTGACATTTAACATGCAGAAAACTCAGGGAATTACATCCATTTACAATAGCCTCTCAAAGATTAAATACCTACATATAAATTTATAGATATGAAAGACCTCTACTGCCCAAACTATAAAATATTGAAGAAAGAAATCAAAGAAAATTATAAAAGACATAAACACCTCCCCCAAGTTCATGGGTTAGCAGAGTCAATATTATGAAAAGAGCTATATTATCAAATATAATTATACATTTCATACAATCCTCATTAAAATTCCAATGACATTCTTCACTGAGGTACAAAAATCAATTTTACAGTTTATGTGAAAGCACAAAGTACCTTCAATAGCAAAAGCTATTCTGAGTAAAAAAGCAACACCATAGATATCACAATATCTGACTTCAAACTATACTACAAAGCCATAGTAGCAAAAACAACAGCATAATCCTGGCTCACAAAAACTGACACACACACACACACACACACACACACACACACACACACGCACGCACACACCAAATATGCTCACAGAGAACCAGCCAGCTGACCTGTCAAATGTGCTAAAAACATAGCTTAAGGAGGGCTAGGAAGGTGGCTTAGTGGTAGAGTGCTTGCCTTGCATGCATGAGTCCCTGGGTTTGATTCCTCAGCACCACACAAGCAGAAAAAGCCGGAAGTGGTGCTGTGGCTCAAGTGGTAGAGCGCTAGCCTTGAGCTAAAGAGCTGAGGGACAGTGCCCAGGCCCACAGTTCAGGCCCCACGACCGACCAAAAAAGAACAAAGCAAAACAAAAAACCAACACATAGCTTAAAGAAAAGACAGCTTTTCAATCAGTGTTTGGGAAAACTGTGTAATCAATATAGAAAATTGAAACTAAAATCACCCTGTACTAAAAGTCAAGTCAAGCTAGACAAAAGACCTTAATATAAGAAATGAAATTTTGAAATTACTATAGAAAATATAGTTGTAGGCAACAAATCCCCAAATAAAATTCCAATAACTTAGCAAATACAAACAAGGGTTGACTAATAAGGCTGCATCAAACTGAAAATCATCTACACAGAGAAAAAATGCAGTCACTAGAATAAAGAATGGGAGAGACTTTTCTACTCATTCTTCTGATAAAATATTAATAGCCAGAATATACACAGAGGTCAAAACACTAACAGAGGACAAGTAACTCACTTAACAAACAGGCAAATGAAATGAACAGAAAATCCTCTAAGAATAATAATTACAGATGGTCCATAAGACATGAAAAAATTATCAAAATCTTCTCTTCTTATATTTCTCTATAACTTTCTGAAGAAGTAAACATTTAAACATAACATTGGCATTGTGACTGAGGTGGTTTTAAAAAATGATTGCATTATTTTATAAAAGTAGTGATTGTTTTACCTAATATTATCAGAAAATTTCTTGTTTTTTTATTTTTATAAAAACCTGAAAATGTTCCTTCCCTCACTGTTATCCCAACAGATCTCAACTATCTTTTTTTTTTTTTTTGTCGGCCATGCGGCTTGAACTCTGGGCCTGGGCGCTGTCCCTCAGCTCTTCAGCTCAAGGCGAGCGCTCTACCACTTGAGCTACAGCGCCACTTC